GTTGCAGGCCAGGTCTCCAGTAAAGGGTGTATGAAAGGCAACCACACATTGATGTTTCTCTCCCTCTCTCCCTCCCTTCCCCTCTCTCTAAAAAATAAATACAATCTTAAAAAAAATAAAAAGCAGCATACAGTGATTAAAAGCAAGGACTCTGAGCCAGAGAGTCTGGATTTGAGCTCCACCCTTGCCACTCCCTGTGTGACCTTGGATAAATCACTTTGTCTCCCCATGCCTCAGATTCCCCAGCTGGTGAAAAGGATATTAATAGTACCTACCTCACAGGGCTGCTGTTGCTGCAAGGATTAAATGAGATCATTTATTTACAGCACTTAAAACAAAACCAATGCATAGTAAATGTTATGTAAGTGTTGCTATTATTATTATTATTAAAACTGATGAGGCAGGAACCATAGCCATGGCAGAGGGCTTTTGTGTGCATGTTTCATTTCAGGCCTGAGCTAATCACTTTTTACTGTGTCTCTGTCAGTTCTCACAACAGCCCTGCTGTTATTCACAAGGTTTAGAGGAGGCAATAAAAGTGTGTGGTTTTAAGGTCACAACCAGAACCAGTGATGTCGTTCTCACAGGAATGTTGTGAAGTCAGTACTCTTCCGGTGCCCATTTTACAGATAAGGAAAGCTGAGCACAGAAAGGTAGAGTGACTTGTCCCAGGTCACACAGAGGCTGAGCTCGGGGTTTGAGCCCAGAGCCAGGATCCTTAACCATTCTGCTTTACTGTCTCTACATTTGCATGAAATCTTCTAATTATAGCAAAAACCCATTTTCCCAGGGCCAGGCTCCGCCCCCAGAGTTCTAACCTTCCCTCCCCCCACGGGCCACCTGAGCCACTAGCTTGGCCACCACTTTATGCAGATGAGTGTCCTGGCACTCTACATAAATAGGAGAGTTCTGAGAGTTCTAAGAGGGGTAACCAGCTTCTCCCTGGGAGCTTGGGTGGAGGGATTCTACAACTCCCTAAAACAGGCCGCTGTGGAGCCCGGAGGCCCAACACGGGAAGCCACACATACTAGGGCCTCCTGTCAGACAAGCAACTTTGTGCCTCTGGGCCTCAGTTTCCTTGTCTGTCACCTGGGCTGCTTTGGAACAGTCTCCACCTAATGGGGTCGTGGGGAAGATTCCATGAGGAAACCAACTAGAGCCTACCACATAGTAGCTGATTGATTCAGGAATCCATTAAAATTATTACTAATGTGTAATGGTATCTATTGTTATACAAAACAATATCTTGCAGGTCAATAAAATTATATATAAAATATTAAATGTATAATAGGTTGCTAGGTGTTATATAGTTAAATATTGATATATTGATACAACTGTGATATATAGTATGTAATATTGTAATACAGGGTCCAGCCCCTTTTTTATTACATAAAAATCTTTTTATTACATAAGCATATAATTCTGCAACATAACAATATCACGCTCAAGCACACCATATGACATTTTAGGTGAAATGTTCAAATTTCTGTGCATTCACGTACCTTACCAACCCTATCAATGGCGTTACTTCAGCCCAACCCTGTATATAACATGTAAGTTTGTACCGTATTGTTGAATTATATAATGCCTAATTATATAATTATATATTTAGACAAATGCAATTATGTAGTGCAATACAGTTCTGTGTTATGTTCTACAACACACATGTACATTAAATATTAAGTTTTTCCTTAGAATTTTATATATAATATAAAATTATTCTGTCATTGTGCTTTACATCATAAGATATTAATAATGTTTCTTTTTTTCAGTCAACATTATTCATTTTAAGACCAACCCATGATAGCTCTGGCTGGGTGCCTCAGTATCCCAATTTTGGGGGTTGATCCCTGGTCAGGGCACATACAAGTAACCACCAATGAACGCATGGATGGGAGGGACAACCAGTTGATGTTTCTTTCTCTCTAAAATCAATCAATTAAAAAAAGAAACAATGAATGCATAAATAAGTAGAACAACAAATCAATCTCTCTCTCTCTCTGCCCCCTCTCTAAAATCAATTAAAAAAAAAAAGAAGACCCATGTGTGGCTCAGCTGGTTGGGCGTCATCCCAAACCAAGTGAAAGGTCACGGGTTCGATTTCCAGTCAGGACACATGCCTGGGGTTTTGGATTCGGTCCCCAGTGAGGCCATGTGCAAGAGGCAACTGATGGGTATTTCTCTCCCTCTTTCCCCTCCCTTCCCCTTTCTCTGGAATCAATAAAAGAAAAAAATTTTTAATAAATTAATTTTTTTAAGAGAAGACATGATGCTCCGTGGGCCCCTCCTCTGCAGCTGCAGGACCCCCTGGTGACTGTCCCCTTCTGTTTACCTATCTCCTCCCCTGCAGGTGGACACCAGGCTGTCCCCAGCTGCCCCGAAATAATGTGGCAGCGAACATCCTCCCCTATGTCCCCTCACAGAACTGAGTTGAAGGAGAATGTTGCACGTACACACAGGAGCTAACTGCAGGATGAGAGCTCCGTGTCACAGTTATCTGACTAAGTAGTGTCAAGTGGCTCCTGGGAACGGCTGCCCACTATAGGTAGAAGGGTTCCTAGGTCCCTGCATCCCCAGCCTCCACTTGGCAGTTTCCAACCTCTGATATTTGCCAGGCTGGTTAGACGACCCACTGCCGCTTACCTTGCCCTGCCCTGATCAGTCCCCAACAACTCCCAGCCTCTTCTCAGGTGCCTGTCAGTTTTTTGTTTCCTCATCACCTGCTCATACTCCTTCCCCATTTTTCTATCAGAGATACTCTCCTCTTTTTTTTTCTTGCTGATTGCAGCTGTTCCCTTTAGATTCCTGATATTTAATAGTGTCTCATTGATTGCAGACATTGGGAATACCTTTCCCTGCTCTATCTCATCTGACAGTTGTCCCATGGTGTCCTCTTTAAAAGAAATCCTTATTTGGATGTTATCATGTGCACCCTTTCCTGCCATACGAGTTTTTGTGGTTTGCTTCAGAAATCTGTCCCTTTCTAGTTGTCAGTGTTATTGTTGGTACTAACCATCCCCGCCAGCCCTGAGGGCAGTGCAGACACACCAGTGCCAGGGCCTCCCACACTCCCTGAGGCTTCTCCAAAACCCCGGAGTTCAGAGACACTGTCCCACCAGAAGCTGGGCTCAGCCAGGACTCACATGAGCTGGGAGATGCCGGTGCTGAGGAGATGGGCTGAGGGACGGACAGCAGGTCATGGCAGCACGGCTGGAGACCTGAGAAGACAAAAAGGAAAAGCAGCAGCAAGGGGAAGAGATAACAGAGAGGGGGTCTGAAACTACGCGGTGTGCCACGTCATGGAAAAGCCAGAGAACGGGCTCTGTGCTTGTGTAAATGCTCTGATGTGAGAAAAACATCCACGATGACTTCATTCAGTGCAGGAGAGAAAGGAGCACGCATATACTTTTAAGAGAGTTTTGGATTGAATTGACTACACACTAGGCTTGGCAGAATCACCTTCACGACTGTGAGCCACTGACACTGCTCCTGGGGGTGCGCCCCACGAGCTGTGCACTCTCACGTCCGTCGGAAGACAGACTGTTTACAGCAGCAGTATTCACAGCAGCCCCCACTGGAAGCAACGCAAAACAAATCGATCAATAATTCATAGGTTGGTCACATGATGACAGATTATATAGCTTTAAAAAAAAGAATAAACTACAACAAAATACAATAACATGGAAAAATCACAAAAACATGATGTTTCATGAAAAAAGCCAAACACGATAAATTAGGCCATTTGCATACAGCTCACAACCGGGCAAACGGGCTCTGCTGTAGTTCAGGCTGGAGGTTACGTTCTGGGAGGCAGCCCCAGAAGGAGCTTCAGGGGGCTGGCAGGGAATAGAAATGTTCTGTTTCTTCGTTTGGGTGATTGGCACATAAATATGCCGTTTGTCCTAATTCGCCAACCTAGGCACTTAGGACTTGTGTTCTTATTTGTATGTCAGTTAAAAAACATGTCAAGCATAACACATGTAGGTAAAAGAATAAAACGTGTGTACTCAAAGGAAAAGTCTGTATTTCTAGGAGCACGTATTCGTGGACCCAAATAAATGCACAGCTAACAGATGGGATGAAACCCGAGGATGCATGATATTGGTCACCCCTGCCTAAGAGGGACAGTAGGCTGGGAAGGAGGCTCCCAGACGGTTGACCCCCATCTCTAATGTTTTCATAATAAGATAACAGTCTTGAAGATTGTGTAAGGATATGCCCTGGCCAGTGTGTCTCAGCTGGGTGGGCATGGGCCCATGAAACAAAGGGTCTCTGGTTGATTACCGGTTGGGGCTCATGTCTGGGTTGTGGATTCAATCCCCACTGAGGTGCATAGAGGGGTGGCTGATGGATGTTCCTCTCGAGTTGACGTCTTTCTCCCTCTCTTTCTCCCTTCTTTCCCTTCTCTCTAAAAATAAATTTAAAATCTTACAAAAAAAGATTGTGTAAAGATTGATTGAATTAATATTTTAAAAGCCCGTAGAATAGTGTTTGGTATACAGTAGGCACTACATAAGGGTTCGTTATAATAAAGGTAACAAAGTAAAAATGTTTTATGGGGTACAAATGGTGTTATTAATACTAAACTTTGAATAAAAGAAACATTAAAAGGAATACACAAAATATTATGTCTGTAACTTTCCACTGAAACCTTTGTGCATTGTCCTTACAGAAATATATAGACTTTTCTTTTGAATGTGTTTTTACATAAATGTGTCATATTAGGCATAGTTTTTTTTTTTAAACTGCTTTTATTGAAGTATGAAAATGACAGAACAGAGAATCACGGGTCTAGAGACAGAAAGATGGGGGAGATAGAGAGAGACCGCTGGGTGACTGACGGGGGGCGGGGTGGGGGGGGGCCAGCAGCACCGGAAACCTCAGCCTGCAGGGATCCCCATGTTGGGGGAGGGGGGAACTTTGGTCTCTCCTCAGCCTCTTCCTTCCCCCTGGCCTGGGGCTGGGTGGGGAGGGGCAGTTCCTCTTTCCTTCCCAAGCACTGAGGAGGCCCCAGCTCCCAAGGGGCTGAGAAGCTGGAGCATTGGTGAGGGAGGAGAAGTGGAGCCAGACTCTTGCAAGACCCCCTGCACGCCCCACCCCACCCTCAGGAAACATGAACAGGAAAGACTGCAAGAGGTGAGAGGACCCTCCAGGAGACCTGGAGCGGAGCGCTCGAAGGCCCCGGGCCTCCCACTGTGTGGGAAGGCTGGAAGGCACTAACCAGCTGGTAGGGTGTGAGGCTCCCCCGGGAGCAGGGGCAGATCAGGGGGCGCCAGGTGGAAAGATGCTTCAGGGAGACGGGAGCTAGCCAAGGCTGGGGCTCTTTGTGTGAGCCTCTGCGTCTAGTCCACTCTCTCTCTCTGGAGTTGAAACTGCTCAGGATCCCCTTCTCCCCACCCCCACCCTCATGCTATCTCCATAGGCTGGGTACTCTGTCCCCCCTGGGGTCTTCCTGGTTCCCTATCACAGTTGCTTGCTGTCCCCTGAACTGGAAGCTCCAGGCTACTTTAGAGCCCTGCCCCTGGGGATGGGAGTGTGCAGCAGGGCAAAGCGGCTCCCCTGTCTCCTGAACCCCTCCTGACTGCTTCAGACACTACCAGGGCGGGCAGTCTGCAGGTAAGGGCCTAGCAGCTGGGTATAGCATCAGGTTCTGGAATGGGCTTCTATCACCAGGGCAAGCCAGCCCTCCTGCCCTCACAGGACGGTGGTCCTTGGGTTCCTAACCTAGACAACTCCTCCAGCCTCTTCCAGCATGTCTCTGATGGACAAAGGGGTCCCCTCCCCATAACACCCAGCAGTTGAGTGGTTGATACCTAGTTGCCTCATATTCTGGCTCTGGGACCTTAGGGAAGGGACCTTAACTGCTCTGTGCCTCAGTTTTTTCTGTCAATAAAATAATCATAGTCCCTCCTAGAAGGGTCACGTAAGTGCTCAGTGAGACTCTAGATTAGTAGTTCTCAAGCTTGAGGGCTTGTAAAACACAGGTTAGTGGGCTCACCTCCAATTTTTCTGATTCTTTAAGTCTGGGGTGGGACTTGAGAACTCGTATTAAATGAAGTTCCCAGGGGCTGCTGTTTGTATAGGTTGGAGGCCATGCTCTGAAAGCCACTGATCTAGATAGTTGTTCCAACCTCTGCCCAGGACATATTTGGCACTCAATCCATGCCCCAGGCCTACCTGTAGCCAGCTCCATCACTTTCTCTCTCTGCATCTCAAGTTCAGCTTCCCTACCTTTGGCCACTTAATAGCCTGAGCAAACTAAGACCCTTATCACTTTTGAAGAGCAAGGCATTGAATACTCAGCAGACTCCTGGGGAAGGTCCAGTGATGACTCTCGTTTTTCATATGAGGAAACTGAGGCCCAGAGAAAGTAAGTGACTAACGTAGCCACATAGCCAGCGTACACTTCTCTAACCTTGTTTTGTCTGACTCGTGGAAGCCAAGGCTGTTTTGCCTGGACTCCCCCCTGCTCCCTCCACCATCCCTGTCTCTCCATTTTAGTCTTTCCCCGAAAGGAACATCAGCCTGCACCCTCGAGCCTTGGGGAGGCACAAGGCAGAGTGAAGGTTATTTTTAAACCTTCTTTGAAATTGCCTCAGCTCCAAGGACCCCACCCAGTTCTGAGAGCTCCAGTATTTTCTCTCTAGGCTTCAAATCTAGGGACTCAGGTGGATGGCTAGACTCAAGTCCTATAGAAGGGCTGGTTTGATGGAGGGGTCAAGGTAGGGGAGGGGGGAGAGGTGGAATCTCAGGAGGCTGCTCCTCTCAGGAGGGCTGGGGAAAGAAGGCAGGGCATTGGAGAACAAAGGGGAATTCTGAGGAGTCTCCCTGAAGGCACAATCTACTATGATTCCCCTGGGAAGGACAGGATTCTGGCGGTCTTCACCCATGATTTCCTTTAAGATCAGCAGTAATCCTAGGGGTCTGCCAACAGGAAGTGTCTCCCACAATGCCTTGGGATCAAACAGTCAAGGGGAATTTGGGGGCAATGCCTGGAGGGCATTTTGATTCACTGTAGGGTCATCTCCCATGATTCTCTTGGTGGGGATTCAGGGTAGTCTTGAGGGTCTTTTCCTGATTCCCTGCAGGAGACAGGAGTAACTCTTGGAGAAGTCTCTCATGATCTGGAATCCTCTGGGGGTTTTCTCCTATGAGTCCATGGGAGGTCAGGAATAACCCTAGGATTTTGCCTTTGGGGCTTTGGGGCCAAGAAGGATTCTGGGAGCTTGCCTGAAGGAAGGGGCTCCCATGACTTCCTAGGGGGGATCCCCACAGGAAGTCTCAGCAGGAATGCCCGGGAAAGACAGGAGGACGGGGCCGGCCCCGACCAGCCCGTCGCCACAAGACATGCCCCAGTCCCCGGGAAATCAGCAAGGTCATGGCTTCCATGGCCCTGGACATACTGAAAGAGGGTGGCTGCAGTGAAGATGAACTGCTGGAGAAATGCATTCAGTCTTTCGGTGAGTGTCTCCCTCCCTGGCCAGTCTCCCCAATCCTAAGGTTGGACCAATCACCCACCTCTCTCTAGGCCTCAGTTTTGGGAGTTGTAACATGGAGTGTGTGAAAGGGCCCTCAATCACTACAGAGATAAGAAACACACCTGTGTTTCTCTTTCCTGAAATGTGGAGAGAGAGGTAGTCTGATATTTCTATCTTCAATATGACTTGCTAGGCATGCATAGTACAGACCAGGGAACCACTAGGCTGATTCATGCATAATACAGACCGGGAAACTGAGGCACAGGGAGGCCAGGTTGCTTGCCCAAGTTCATGCAGAGAGTTAACCTGGGGTTTGGACCAGGCAGGCCACTGGCTCTAGAGACTGTAGTTTATTGCCCGGGGCCCTTCTGACTGAATCCCCTTCTCTGCCCCTAGACTCGGCTGGCAACTTGCGCCGTGGGGAGCACATTCTCAACATGGTACTTGCCATGCACAGTTGGGTGCTGCCTTCTGCCCGCCTTGCTGCCCGTCTCCTGACATTATATCCTCCCAGGGCTATGAGCAGTGGGTGGAGGGTAGAGGGCAGAGATGTGAGTCGGAGCTACGGGGACAAGACGAGTGGTAAGGTTTGGGATGCTGGGTATCAGAGCCTTAACCAGAACTCAAGTACCAGGAGGCCACAGGAAACACACAGGAGCTGAGGCGGCTGCAGATCTGTCACTTGGTCAGGTAGGGCTGGGCCAAGACCTCCATACCCAAGACCCAAGACCCTCACCCTGCTACCCCCTAACACCTCCCAGGGACTCTCCAGCCCAGTTTCCCCCACACCCACTGAGCCCTGCTCCCCCAAATCCCACTTTCAGACATCCTGGTTTGGTTGTTGAGACCCTCCTAGTTCTGCATCTTAGAACTCTCACCTCTTAGAGACCCCTAACCTGATCCTATAATCCCTCTCGCAGCTGGTACCCAGATACCTCTAGCTCTGACCCCTAAACCCCCACACTGCAGCCTAGCTTCTAATACCCCCCTCATCCTGTTCCCCCAAAATCAGATCCCCTGAGACCCCCCACTATCCTGTTACTTAGCAATGCCACTTCCAAGAGACAACCGCCCACCCCCCGCCACCCCGGCTATCTCCCATTGACCCACCAGCCCGTGTTAACAGGCCCTCAATGCTGACCCCAGGCGTTGCAGACAGTCTGGTGTCTCCCTGAAGCCTGACCTTCTGGAGATCTCCCAGCCCAGCACCTAGAGATTCCTCAGCCTAAGAGACCGCTTTTAGAGAGCTTCCCCACATCCACCTCATCCCACCATCCCTAAACCACCCTCAGGTACTGGCTGACCCAACACCCTGAGACAGTGCACCAGCAGCCCCAGGTAGAAGAGGTTATAAGTCGCTTCTGGGCCACTGTGGAGCAGGAAGGCAACTCAGCCCAGAGGAGCTTGGGAGGTTCCTCCAACCAGTGAGTCAGCCTCTCCCTGACCCCTTCCCACCCTCACTCTGCCATCTCCCTCCACACCCCCACATTCTCCAAGCTGAGCTGCTTCAATACCCTGCCTCTCTTTGCCCCCAGCCTGAGCCCCGGTGGCCCTGGCCCCCCACCCTTGGTGAGCAGCCCAGGTCTGGGCAAAAAGTGCAAAGTGTCCTTGCTTTTCGACCACCTGGAGGCAGAGGAGCTGGCTCAGCACCTCACTTACCTGGAGTTCCGGTCCTTTCGGGTTATCACGGTGAGGACCCTCCTCTCTCCAGCTAGGGAGAGCTTGTGGTGGGGCGGGACCTGGCTGGGGCCAGGCAGTACTGAGAGGACCCCAGCCTGGACATCAGGCAGGGATCTCAAACTCTCAAACTTGGTGCTAGCAAAATGAGTTAATCTGACTGAGCACAGAGCCCCTGGGTTCAAATCCATCAGCCCCTTATCTGTGTCACTTTGAAATCGTCTCCTCTCCGGGATTCAGTTTTTATATTTGTAGAAGTGGAGGTCATAGTACCTCACTGGCTGGTTGGGAGAATTAAATTAATATGTCCATTTAAAAATGCTTGTGGCAATGCCTGGCACATCGTAAGTGCTAAAAATAGGATCAGTGTCTGGTCCAGAGTAGATGCTATCATATTTTACCTACCCAAATGGCAATTTCACGTGCTTCAAACTAACGTGTTCACTATCGCCATCATCATTTCAAGGGAAGTTGGGGATCTGTTTTTTTGTTTTGTTTGTTTCATACTTTTGTTTTGTTAAATTTATTTTTCAGCTACAGTTGACATACAATATTACATTAGTTTCAGGTGTACAATATAGTGATTAGAGATTTATGTGCCTTACAAATTGATCACCCTGTTGGGATCTGGTTTTTTAATGTGAAAATCTCCTGATTGTCCACACGCGCTCGCATGTGCACAGCACAGTGCATGTAGGTGTGGAATGTTGACCCCTTGAGCAGAACAAATAGAAATCCATTTCATGCCCTCTTCACCATCCTTCCCTTGCTTACTGTATACTGAACGGGTAACCAGTTACGAGCAACACACTGGGTTCCCATCCTGACTCAAGCGTATGTGATCCTGGGCAAATTACTTACCCTCTCAGTGCCTCATTGGCCCTTCTCTAAAATGGGAATAATATAGCAGTTGCTTCATAGAGTTGATGTGAGGATTAAATTAGTTAATATGGCAAAGGACTCAGGAGAGTGCCTGCCTTTATTTAAACATTTCTCCTCAGATGGGAAAGGGCCATGGTGGTGTCAGAGACACGTAACAGCCGAGCTAGGACGCACAAGGTCATGACTGCCAGGGGGATGGGCATGTGAGGGGCAGGGCCTGAGTGCTATGGCCTACCCTCATGCCCACCTCATCCCGCAGCCCCAGGACCTGCGAGACTACGTTTTACAGGGCTCCGTGCAGGGCTGCTCGGCCCTAGAAGGATCTGTAGGTCTCAGCAACAGCGTGTCCCGCTGGGTGCAGGTCATGGTCCTGAGCCGTCCAGGGCCCTCGCAGCGTGCACAGGTGCTAGACAAGTTCATCCATGTGGCACAGGTGAGGCCCGCGCCTGCAGCTCTGCTCGCTTTGTGGGTGCTTGCACCCTTTCGGTTCCAGCTGCCCATTCATGGCGATGACATCACCATGCCCTGGACGTGCCCCATAGCATTGAGCCCCCACCCTGATCCCGCTGCCCAGGCCTCAGTTCTGTGGTTCTAAACTGGATTGTGCCGGCCACTTATTTATTTTTAATTTTTAGGGAGAGAAAGAGGGGGGGGTGGGGACATGATTTGTTGTTCTACTTATGCATTCATTGGTCGATTCTTGTACCTGCTCTGGCCGGATGGAACCCACAACCCTGGAGTATCCAGTGGAGCTCTAACCAACTGTGCTGCCTGGCCAGGGCCCAGGCCTTCTTCCTTGGCCTTCAAATCACCGCTTGGAACCCGCCCTGGGCCCACCCCTTTGTCCTAAGCTTGATAGCTGACAACGGCCTTCCTGGTCTGTCTTCCAAACTCTGTACCTGAATATTCTGTATCCAGGGCAATGAAAGCATCTCTTTTCACGCCCTCTACCTCGGCGTCTTGCTCCACCCCAGTCCCTATGCCCCAGCAGCCCCTTTGTGATTGTGCCTGCGTCCCTTTCCCCTCACGTCAGGTCTCTCCTCGGCCCCGCCCCGTGCGTCTCGCCCCTCCCCCACAGATACATTCCCTCCCGGAGAAAAGGGAAGCCCTCCCTCCCCCAGCGTGGCCACGCCCCTTGCGTACTTCCTTGCAGACCACGCCCTTCCTCTGGCTGCTCCCACCCCCTTGCTTCCCTAGCCCGGCCCCTTAGGCCTGCCGTTTTGGTGTCTACCTGGGGTCTCCTGGGTCTGAGCATCTGCTGCTACTCCTCCCCGGTTCCACTTTCTCCCTGATGCAACCTGTGTCCTTCAAACTTGGAAAAGGGGAGAGAGAGAGAGGCAATTCCCCCTGATGGCCAGCTGACCCCACACCTGTCTCGGGACAAGAAGGAAGAAGGGCACAGAACAGAGCCTGGGGGTCTGTTGGATTTGTACGAGCCCTCCATATCATTCTGTCCCCATTCACCTCTGCCCGGTTTCTAACGCCCGACTTTTTGTCTCCCCTCATCTGCCTGGCTCTCAGAACAACTGGATGTCCAGGTGCTTGACACCCTGCCATCTGTCTGAATCCCCCACACCTGATACACGTCTGTCTAGTCCAACGCCCCATATTGCCTGACTCCCTCCGCTTTTTTCTGACCTCACGTTATTCTGTCACCTTCCACACCCCCATGTAATGCCTGCATACCTGCTGCAGCCCACCCTGCCTGACACATCTCACCTCTCTGATGCCTACACTGGCCTGCACCCACCCATGCCTGAGACCCCAACCTCAACTGGGATACTCTCAACTGAGATGTCATCTGAACCCCCAACTTGGCTATACCCCATGTGACACTCATCACCTCTCCATTGTCCTCCCTTCCTAGAGGCTCCGCCAGCTGCAGAATTTCAACACACTGATGGCAGTCACTGGGGGCCTGTGTCATAGTGCCATTTCCAGGCTCAAGGACTCCCATGCTCACCTGAGCCCTGACAGCACCAAGGTGAGGTCCCACTACCCTCCCAAAAGTTCCAGTGGCCCTGATCTCCCTCTTTTCCCCAAGCCCCTCCATCCCTGCCCTGGGCCCTGGAGCCACCTGGAGCCCTTGCTCATCCAAATCCAACAGACTCCCAGGCTCTGTCCTCCTCTGCTAGTCTTCCTTCCTCTTCACTCATCAACCCATCATGCCCACCCCTCTTACTCTGTGTCCAGCCCTGAGCAGGACTGGAGAGAGATGAGAGAGATGCTAGCAGAGAAACTGCAGCCTAGATGGGGAGTAAAACGATGCCCCAGGAGTGTCAACACTTAGGCCACCCATGGGAGGAGCATGGGATGGGATGTCCTGGGAATGCCTGGGAAGAGTGAGTCATTCCTGAGTCTGGCGTGTGGCTAAGGGCAGGAGATGGCAGGGGATGCCTGGGGGAGATCCAGGTGAGCCTTGCAAGCTGAACTAAGGTGTCTGGCTTTATCCAGAGGGCACTCAGGAGCTAGGCAATCTTTGAGAATGACGGCAGCATCCATGATCGGATTTGGGTTTTGGAAAAATCACTCCAGCATGGGGAATGAGAGACAGGGACCCAAGAGGAAGAGCAGTGTGGGAAGACGCTGATGCCAGTGTGGGACATGGAGGAGCTCGGGGAGGTGTCCAGAACAGCACTGAGCCCCTGGGGCTCAGGAGCCCACACAAGAAGCTGCTAGGATACACTCCTCCAAGGTGCTAAGGGAGCAGAACCTGCTTTCCCAATAACATGCCACCGCCCCCCCCCCCACCCCAATGTGGCCTCCCACACAGGCCCTGCTAGAGCTGACTGAGCTACTTGCTGCCCACAACAACTACTCCTGCTATCGCCGGACTTGGGCTGGCTGCACAGGATTCCGGCTGCCTGTGCTGGGTGTGCACCTCAAGGACCTGGTGTCCCTGTATGAGGCCCAGCCAGACAGGTTCCCTGACGGCCGCCTGCACCTTCCCAAGCTCAACAGCCTATACCTGCGGCTGCAGGAGCTGGCAGCCCTCCAGAAGCAGCAACCTCCCTGCACTGCCAATGAGGACCTGCTACATCTGCTCACGGTGAGCTGCCCTGCTCAGGCTGGGCTGCCTGAGGCTGAGCCTGGGGCACTGAGATGTAGGGTTCTGGGTGGCTGACAGGCTGCATGCTGGACCAAGAGAGACTGGTGCTGGGATGTGTGGGCTTTGAAACCAGAGGTGCTAGGGTTTTTTTCCCCCCTAGGTGTATGGCCTTGGGCAAGTCACTTAACCCTTTGGCTTCAGTTTCCTTATCTGCAAAATGGGAATAATAATAGGACCCACTTCAGAGAGTGGTTGAGAAGAATCAATCAATAATATAATTCACTTAAGTGTTTAAATTAATATCTGCAACACAGTGAGCTCTAAGTAAATGATACATTTTTCTCCCATTCTCCCAGCAACTCAAGTATACACTGACCTCCAGAATTGCTTTGGGCTTTCATACCTCTGAACTCAAAGATCCGTAGCTTCTCGTGTCACTAGTCCAAAATCCTGGGCTTTAACACATCCAGGAATGAGCATAAAGCCAGTAATAACCATCGATCACTTACTCTGGGCCAGGCACCATGCAAAACATTCTCTATAGAGTACTTCATTCCACCCGCATAACTCCAAGGGGGTCTCTTATCATGCCCATTCTACAGGGTGGGAAACTGAGAGCCATGGAGGTGAGGTCACTTGCCCACTGTCCCACAACAGTGAAACCTGGATGTGAACCTGGGCAGGCCAGCTTCAGAACCCACATGTGTAACATATGTGAACCACACACTATGTCCTAAGTCTGGAAGTGCGGAATTCTGGAGATACATGTATAGAGGGGTGGTCAAAAGTAGGTTTACAGTTGTAAACATGCAAAACATAGACTTTATTCTTGTACTATTATTTATTTGTATTACAACTGTAAACCTACTTTTGCCCCCCTCTGTATATTTTCTAATATTCTAAGGAGGACCAGTTACATAATTCACAGGGCCCAATATGGGGTTCCTTATTCCAAATGCTAAAGAATTTTAAGACAGTAATGGTAGAGCACTGAACAGAGCAGGGGCCCCCCTAAGTGTGGGGCCCCCCAGTGAAGCTGGCCCTGCCCCAAGATGAGTGGCGGCCAAAGGCCCTATGCTTTGCGGATGCCAAAAAGCCATCAGCCCAGATGTTCACTGGGCACCCACATGGCGAGCCTGGCGCCGCCCTAGGCACTGAGACACACGGCAGTGAGCGCATCAGAAGAAAAGGTCGCTGTTCTTGTGGGGCTGACATCCTAGTGGGGGGATGGCCCACACAACAAAGCAAATAAGTGAGTCATGTGGTCTTTTAGATGATGAGTGCAGTAGACAAGATCAAGGCAGAGAAAGTCACAGAAAGGGGCAGGGGTTTGTGATGTGTGTGTGTGTGTGTGTGTGTGTGTGTGATTTTTAAATAGGGTCCCAAAAAAAGCCTCGGTGAGAAAATGGCACATCTGGACTAGGGCCGAGTGCTGTGCAGAGTGGATCAGTGTCAGTGGGAGAGAGGGCTCCAGGGGCCCCCAGAGAAGAGGGGGGCTTTGGGAATAGAGGGAAAATGGAGGCCCAGGCAGGTCACAAGCTGTAGGTAGGAAGATGGACACAGAGGGTCTGTAACACCCTGCCCACCCCCAGCTTTCCCTGGATCTCTTCTATACGGAAGACGAAATCTATGAGCTTTCTTACGCCCGGGAGCCTCGCTGTCCCAAGAGTCTGGTGAGACCTGACCCCTGATCTCCAACCCGCAGCCAGGCCTACACACTGACTAACTGTGCCCCTCTGTCCCTGCCCCAGCCACTCTCCCCCTTCAAAGCACCCCTGGTGGTGGAATGGGCCCCTGGTGTGACACCCAAGCCCGACAGGGCCACCCTGGGTCGGCATGTGGAGCAGCTGGTGGAGGTAAGGTGGGGACTGGCCTGGATCCTGAGGGCCAGGCGGGAGACTGTACAGATGGCCTGGAGGAGGGGACCTAGGACTGAGGGGAGCATGACTTGGCCTTACTCTCCCCATCCCATGCTCCTCTGAAGTCTGTGTTCAAGAATTATGACCCTGAAGGCCGAGGAACCATCTCTCTGGAGGACTTTGAGCGACTCTCAGGCAACTTCCCCTTCGCCTGCCATGGGCTCCACCCACCCCCCCGCCAGGAGTAAGTGCTTTGACTCTTGAGTCCCCCAAGGACGAGGATCCCAGGGTTGCCAGGACCCTGGGGGCTGGGAGAAAGGGGCCAGTCATGCTGAAGCAAGGTCTCTGCCCCCAGGAGTGGCTCCTTCAGCCGAGAGGAGCTGACAGAGTACCTGCTCCGGGCCAGCGCCATCTGCTCCAAGTTGGGCCTGGCCTTCTTGCACACCTTCCATGAGGTCACCTTCCGCAAGCCCACCTTCTGTCACAGCTGCAGTGGTTTCGTGAGCACTGGGCCCACTCTCACCCTTGGGGCCCATGTTCTGAGTGTCCTAGCTCCTCCCGATCTGGGCTCAGATGCCAGTCCTTTCCTGGAACACTCTGTCCCCAAGCCCCCAATAATCCCCAAATTCCAGAAATCCCTTCAGCCTCAAATAATCCCCATATTTCACATACACCCTAAACATTTGGATAGTTGCTAGTCAGGTTCCAAAATCTAACTAACACCCAAATCCCAGATGACCTCCATCCTGGGTAATTGCCAAGGCATGGATAACCCCTAAAATCCTATTTAATCTGTAAGCTCCAGTAGTTTATCTCCAAACAGTCTATCACCAACTCTCTAGACTCTGGATGATTTCCCAATGTACCCTCTGGATAACGGACAAATCTCTGTTTCCAAACCAAAGCTAACTTACAAACCTTGGACTTCCCAAATTTGCTTTTCATTCACTAAATACTCACTGAGCACCTCCTGTGTGCCGACACAGTTCTAGGTTCAGGGTGTGTGTGTGTGTGTGATGGGGGTGGGGGAGGCACAGCAAGAAATGCAACAGACACAATCCCTGCCATAGAATTCCAAATTTGACCCAATTCTAATAGCCTAGGTGACTCCCCAAACTTGAGAGAACCCCCAAATTCCTTTAATCTTCAGATCCCACATAAGCCTCCAGCACTGAGAATTTCCAAAACCTGGATGGTTTCCACCCTTTCCAACAGAGCCCCTGCCCCATCCACGAGTCTCCCTCTCCTCGCCTTGGTAACCAGTTCTGCTTCCTCTTCCCAGCTCTGGGGTGTCACCAAGCAAGGCTACCGCTGTCGGGGTGAGTGGGGCAGCAGTGGCGGGGGAGGGAATTCAAGTCTCGCAGCTTGGAAGAATGGGGCATGTTCTGGGCCTTCGGCCCTTAACGGATACTCTTCCCCAGATTGCGGGCTGTGTTGCCACAAACACTGCCGAGACCGAGTGAAGGACGAGTGTAAGAGACCAGGGACCAAGGGCGATATGGGCCCCCCAGGAGCCCCCGTCCCACCCACACCAACACCCCATGCCAGCTGTGGTAAGACCCAGGGTGTGGCAGTCCTGGGAGGGGGCCTAGTGGATGGGAATAAACCCCAGGGTCATGAAGCCCTTCCCATCATACCCACGTTCCTCCCACCCACACCTCCTCACAAGCAGGCCCTGAGGACAGTCTTTCCTGCACACTCCCCCTGGAACCTGAGGCGGGCCGCCACCTGTGCCATGCTTGGACACAGACAGAGCCCCCACTCCCTTCCTGGGAACCAGAGACGGTGAGGAGGAACTGCCCCCAACCCCATCAGAACACAGGGAGACCAACCCACTTGCTTGGGGAACCCAAACAGATTTTGGGGAGCATAGCAAAGTAAAAATGTGTAAAAGCCCTCAATTACTTGAGTAGGAGAATGTGGAACCTGTTTAACTTTTAATGTTAAAAAAACAGAAATTTCAGTATGCTGAGGGAGAGAAGGGGTAGCCTCTAGTAGAACAGAAAAAGGATGCTAGGAGGAAAAAAAAAACCTAATAAGATGGCAAGAATACGACCAAGTGTATCAGAAGCTGCAATAAATGTCAGTGGAATGAATTCCACTTTTCAAAGGAAGAGATCAGATTGGGTTAAAAAAAAAAAGGCCCACAGGGGACATTCAGTCACTCACTTAACTAAACAGCCTGGTGAGGTGCTGCTCCTGGCAGTGACACATCTCCTGGACACCCTCCCACATCACCCAACGTCTTCCTCCTTCCAGGTTCCCCTCCCAATGACGGCCTCGCCACCCAGCCAGTCCTCCGAGCCGAACTCCTAGATGTTGCCTCGGTCTCTCCACCCCCTCCCCACAGAGCCAGGCCCCGGGGCATGTTATTCAGCCTCTAGCAGGACTCCCAACGGGATCGCCTCCTCTGCATCCACACTGCCCTCATGGAAGCATCCACCGTCTCTTACCCCCAAAAGAAAGTTAGGAAGTTATTTTCTTTTGTGCATCAGAGTAGCTATTAACCATACTCCCTTTTCCTGCACTTTGTATGCAGCTCCGTGTTGGATATATTTAAACTTGGGCATTACTTCACCAACTCCTTAAATCTCCATTTTCCAGATGAAGAAACTGAGGCTTAGTGAGATTAAGCTGCTTATCCAAGGTGGCAAGACTCAAACCCAAGTCTTCTGTCTCCCTCTAAAACAGAAGCTTCTGACCGATGTGCTACACTGGCCATCAGCGTGGGTCAGGAGTGGGAGGGGATAGGTTGGGAAGAGTTCCAAACTCTAGGCTTCCAGAGACAGGAGGGAAGGCTACAGAAGGGGTGGAGAGGAAAGCCCATGAACATCTGAGTCGGATCACGTGGCTCATTCCACAGTGTAGAACCCAGAGTACTCGAGCGGTCCATTCCACATAATGTGCCCCTTACTTCCCACCACCTGCCCCCTCACTCATCCTGCTTCAGCTACCCTGGTCCCTGAACGTGCCAAAAATACTCCTACCTCAGGGTCTTTGCACTGGCCATTCTCTCTCCGTGGAACGCTCTTCCTGAGAGTCCCATATGACTCCCTCAGTGAGACCACCCCTCACCACACTCAAAAGTTGCAATCTCCCCCCGTCCTGATCCTACCTTCCTGCTTTCTTTTCCTTCAAAGTCCTTTTCTCATCTGGCAAACTATACATTTTGCCTTTTTCTCTTGTTGAATATCTGCCCCTCTTTACCAGAAATGTCAGCTCCAGGAAAATAGGGGTTTTCATGATTTGCCCCTTTCACTGCTTTCTCTCCAGCTGGCACATGGTGGGTACCTGATGTTTGTTCAGCCCCTGTGTGTCTCCTTCCCCATGCCCATAGGAAGGGAAAGATGTGTTGCTGAAGAGCAAAGGACTTGGAGGGTCAGAGCACCAGGTGCTTATTTAGACCCAAAGGACTGAAGCCCCTATTCCTCTTCAAATCCATGAACCCCCTAAGCTGGCCCCCACACAGACAGGTCCTATAGCCGTTATAATTAAATTTATTTTCCAGAGAACGCAGTCCTTGGTGTTAAATAGTAGACGGGGGATGGACATTGGGGGCCTCAGGAACATGGTATGTGGGCCCTCATTGCCAGGTGCCAAGAAAACTCTCAAACGGGCTCCCCAGGTATTATCAATGGTGTCAGCAACTCCTAGAGGACACCTGCCCCAGCCACCAGTCCTTTATTTCTTCTTCTTCTTGCGGCCCCAGCACTGGCGGCCTGCCTTCCGACTGCCTCCATCCTCTCTTCTGCTCTGCCAGCTGGGCATGGGAGCCTCCAACTCATTTGGGCGGCCCCCTCGGTCTGGCATGTTGCCCATAAGCACCTGAGAGTTAATTAGATTTGAGTTTCAGAGAGGAAAAGTATCTTGGACAAGGGAGCCAGAGTGCCAACGGAACTGCTTGAGGTTAAAAAAGGAAGGGCAGATTTCCAGTCAAGATGGCAGTGTAGGCAGACATGGCTTACCTCTTCGCACAACCACATCAAAATTACAACTAAAATATACAACAACCGTCATGCAAGCTGTCAGAAATCAAGTTAAATGAAGTCTTGGCAACTCCAGAATTAAACTATTTGAAAAAATAATGAAAGAAAACTTCCCTAATTTGATGAAGGAAACAAACATGCAACTCCTGGAAGCACAGAGAATCCCAAACAAGATGGATGCAAAGAGGCCCATTCTAAGACAAATCATAATTAAAATGCCAAGGATTAAAGATAAAGAGAGAATCTCAAAAGCAGCAAGAGAAAAGCATTTAGTTACCTATACAGGAGTTCCCATAAGACCATCAGCTGATTTCTCAAAAGAAACTCTGCAGGTTACAAGAGACTGGCAAGAAATATTCAAAGTCATGAAAAGCAGGGACCTAGAGTCAAGATTGCTCCATCCAGCAAAGCTATCATTTAGAATCGAAGGACAGATAAAGAGCTTCCCAGATAAGAACAAACTAAAGGAGTTCATCATCACCAAACCATTACTATATGAAATGTCAATGAGACTTATTTAAGAAAAAGAAGATCAAAACTATGAACAATAAAATGGCAGTAAATACAAATCTATCAACAATTGAATCTAAAAATCAAACTCAGCAAACAAGAAGGACAGAGACAGAATCATGGACACAGAGAATGTTTTGATGGTTCCCAGATGGGAGCAGGGTGTGGGGGAATGGGTGCAGAGGTGAGGGGAGTAAGAAGTACAAACAGTAGTTACAGAATACCCATGTGGATGTAATGCACAGTATAGGAAATGGAGTAGCCAAAGAACTTATATACATGAGCCATGGACATGAATGATGGTGGGGGGATTGCCTGAGGGAGTGGGGGGTGCTGGGTGCAGAGGGGCAAAAATTGGAACAACTATAATAGCATAATCAATAAAATATGACCTTAAAAATATAAATGGCAGATATTAACTATTTGGGTACAAATAGGAGGCTCTAGGGGCCTGGACTGGTGGAAGATACAGGCCTGAAGCTTTCAAACTGGGTTCCAGGGGCCTTCACAGGAGGAACATAAAAGTGAGAGTGTTGGCAAAGGTCCAAGTCCCCACTAATAGTAACGAGGACCCCTCAACTTCTGTCTATTTCACATTTGGGCTTTGTATAACATTTCCAGAAAATCTGTGTTTTTTTCTAAATATTCATCACTCACAAGTGATGCACACATCACCTATATTACTTACTGGCCATATTTCCTTAAAGCGGATACATTTTTTCTCTAATTTTACTGCACTCTGCTGTGCTAGACTTCAATTCCCTAATGTTTTTTTCACATAAGTATAAGACTATTTAAACAGCAATGTATGAGTCCAAATACATAATCATTTAAAGAGGTATTTTGCTTTAAAAGTGACTAGAAATTAATAAAATAAACAAAGTGAGTGTTGGCGGAGGAATTTAAGCCAAAGCTGAAGAGGTGGGTGGGGGCTCAGTTGTTTTGAAGAGGCACTAGGGTGCCAGAGGAAGGTTTTGAGCTGGTGGGGGCAGGGTATAGCCAAATTTCTGAGTTGGAAATATTCTTCTAACTGCCATGTGGACAGGGTGGTTCAAAGGTGATGAGTCCAGAGGCCAGGAACCCAAGCAAGAGCGGACAAGGCTGAGCAAGGACAGAGACTGAAAGGCCAGTTTGAAAGCCAAAAATGGTGGGGCCCTTCCCCTGCCAGGTGCCCACCTTGTTGATGGCACAGCAGGTCCCTCGGCGGGCAGACTTGCTCGTGGCTGGGACAAGACGAGACAGGTCAGCTCGGGCAGCCAGGACGTGTGCGATGGAGACATCCGTTTCTGGGGTCAGAGCCTTTCGAATTGGGGTCAGCACTGTCTTTATGGCCTCCCCTTGGGCCTGAGGGGTGGGGGTTGAGAGGACGTGGAGAAGGTGCCCAAGAGCCAGTCAAGAGATCTCTCATTTTGGAAACATTCCTTCCTCACTTAGTTCCTCTGAATAAGGGGTATAGCTCTGATGACACTCCTAACTCAGAGCTGGGAATTCTAGAATGCCTTAGGCTCCTGCAATCTAGAATGTCCCAGAGGCCCTGATATTCTAGAGCCCCAGCTTCATAAGATTCTACCACGTCCTGGGCCTCAGAACCTGCAATAGGATAATATTCCTGACCCTAATTCCTCCTCCCTTCAGGGGTAAGCTCCTACCACTGGGTATCCCTGCTCCTGCCAGGGCCCTCTGCCCACACCTTTGCCCGATCACTCCAGTGGAATGCAGATGTTGTGAGGTCCAGGCGCTTGAGGAGGAGGCATCGGCGGCAGCAGTACTGACCTCTTAGGCTTTGACACAGAGACTCCAAGGCTTCCTGGGGGAAAAGGTCTTGGTTATGCCAGGGAGCCCTTCTCCCTCCCATCTCCAAATGAGGATATTATTCGCATACGGCCATACACAGTCTTACCCATCTGGGTGCATCCAGCGAGTAGGTGAGGAGGGGCTGCAGGGACCCTGGGGGCAGGGAAGGCAGCAGCTCTAAGACCTGATGGGAGAAGGAGTCTGAGGCTGACTGGACTGTAAGAAACTGTAAACTCTCCGTGGACCCCAGTTCTCCACAAAACTGAGGGCCCAGGCCATGGAATCAAGAATGGCAGTCACGGCTGTAGAAAACAGGAGTGGCTAGGGTGTTCCCCTCCCAGAGCCTCTTTTAGTGAAAGGGCTCTCCCCCTGCGAGAAAGTTGGGGTGAACCTGGTGCGGAGAAGGTTCTTGCCCTCTACCTTGGCATGGATATCCCGCAGCAGCCTGCTGGCGAAAGTTCCCAGCATGGGTCTGGGCAGCCCCAGGGCTTGGAGAGTAAGGATCAGTTCCTGAACCATGCCAGCTTCCTCCTCTATTCCTTCCCCACTGGGCGGGGGCTCCGTTGGGCTGGGATCCCGCCGGGGACGCAAGCAGAGGAGGCGGGAAGCCTGGAGCTCTGTGCAGAGAAAGCCTAAAAATAGGGGAGGGGAGAGGTGAAATCTAAGTGCCCTGCCAGACTATCCACCTGGGTCAAAAAAGCTCCTGCAGCTTCAATACCTCCAGCTCTCTAGTTTCGCCCACCTAGGACCCTAGCTCTAGCTCCAGAATAATCCCCACCCACTTCGAGACCTAGCCCCCCCTCCTCGAATTCAAACCTCCCACCTAAGGACCACCTGCTAGGCTCCATCTAGCGCTACCCACTTGAACTTCAAGACCGTCCAATCAAAATTCTAATCTCGCCCAGCCCAAAGTCCGAAGGCCCTCCAAAGTCCTAACCCCACCCACCACGGCCCCCTAGCAGGCCTGTACATTTTGACCACGCCCCTTCGGGAAAATCCTGGCTCCACCTCAATGTGCTGAGTCCGCCTCCCCTTCCCCTGCTCTAGAGGCTGAAGCCTCGCCCACTTCCGCATCCAGGGCGGTCCCCCGCTCAGCTCACGCAGCAGGCGCAGGCACGCGCCCGGCTCCTGCAACGCGGTCGCACAGTCTCTGCCGCAGAGTGCGCGGTCTGGGCAGTGCAGCTCCTTTAGCAGGCCGGCCAACTGTCGCAGAAATTCCTCCTCAGCGCCGGAGCCTGCGGGAGGCGAAAGGCTTCAGGGCGCGTGGCGGCACCTGGGCTCCCCACCTGTGGGCCTGCCACTTCACACGTACCTTCGCCGGCGCTCCCCGCTTCCAAGCCCTCTCGCTCCAAGACACCCAGAGTCGCCAGCTCCGCCACCAGCCGCACGCACAGCGCCCTGAAGTCTGGGCACGATGGGCCCAGCGCCACAGCCCCCCAAAAGTCCTCATACCTGCGGTGGCGCCGAGGCAACCACAAGGGACGGGGAAAGTCTTAAGAATTTCTGAGGGCAAACAGATTCTTTCCGGCACTGCCCCCAGCCACACCCCACGCCCCTTACCCCAAGGCCAGCAGGTCCTGGGCCACAGCAGCCCCCTCCTGTGTATCCGCCTCTGCCCGCTCCATGGAAACGACACCTCTTCGCCAGGCGCGCGCCCCCTGCCGGTTGGCGGGAGGCCCCACCCCAGCATCTGCTTTCGACCCGGGCCTTAGCCACGTAACCGACCAATAGCCTCCTCTCGCGAAGGGCCTTTGGCGTTCCCATTGTTTGCTAAGCAGGCAGAACCCGCCCCCAGGTCCGCCAGCGCCGAAACTTAGCGCACCGCCTCTTTCCGTAGCCAGTCAGGGCCCTAGAAACCCTCCTGACTCCGAAAATCCACAGCGTGAATTCAGGATCCCCGCTGTCGCGATAGACCAGCGGATGTCGCTCCTGCTGCAACGTAGAAGTAACTTCGCTTTTCTTTTCCTCAGCCTGCCTCAGATACCCTCTGCTCTTAAAGCACCCTTAACCAAGTGTTCTCCCAGCTCCACTCCAAATCTATAAACTCGGTTCCTCCTTCCCTACTTAGGGTTGAAGTTACGTCAGGGACCGAGAAAGCCTAGCTTAGCAGTCACCGCCCCGCAGAGGCCCTCCTTATCGATCACAATGCGTCTGTTGAATCTTCACCACTCTGTCTCCCACGCCTTGGAGAGGTAATGAATGATTGAGAGATTGCAACCTAGGAGTCAGACCAGCGAGGTTCAGGATCTGAATTCGCCACGCACCACCTGTATCCCTGTCAAATTCCTTCCTATCCTATAATGGGGATAATAATACCTCTTAAAGAGTTGTGAGGGTTAGAGTCCTGTGTGTAAGTGCTTAGTAAACACATAAATGGTACTCAATAATAACATATATTGAGCATTTCCTGTGTGTCGCTGGGCCAAATATCTTACCCCCATTTGCCTGAGTTTCAGAGAGGATAAGTCACATTGCATATGTGGTGGTACCAGAACTCAAATTCAGATCTCGTTCTAAAGTCCAAGCTTTTCACCGCTTAACCTATACTACTGTTAGTACTGCTACTGTTTTGTTGCTGTTGTTAAAGTTTTTCAAGATTTATTCTGCTTTTATTCTGGACTCCAGTAGTTCCTAGATAATTCTGCTGGGAACCCCGGGGTTGGGAGTGGGGGGTGCTAGGTGTTGAGCCTCAGGGAAGAACAAAGGCCAGAATTTTTTCCTCAAGGGTAGAGTATACCCTTAACCTGATCCTCCTTAGTCCTGTCTACCCCTAGGCCGGGTACTCAGGAGGTCTTCAGGTGACCTTAATAAAATATTAGCCCCAGCTGGTGGGGATCAGTGGCTTTAGTGCTGGCCTGCAAACAGAAAATCGCTGGTTTGATTCCCAGTCAGGGCACATGCCTGGGTTTGGGGCCAGTCCCCAGTGTGGGGCATGTGAGAGGCAACCACACATTGATGTTTCTCTCTCTCTTTTCTCCTCTCTTCATCTCTCTCTAAAAATAAATTAAAAAAAAAAAGAAATTGCTCAAACCAAAATTCTGGAGTCATAACCTTGACTTCTCTCAATACCAAATTTCTATCTGAATTTATGGACTTTACCTTCAAAACACTTCTTACCATCTCTACTGCTCTCAGCCTGGCACTGTGCACCATTGTCTCTCCCAGGACCAAGACAGCAGCTTCCTCCCTGCTTCCCTGCCCTCCCTTCCCAGTGTCTGTCCCCCACAGGCAACCAGAGGGAACCTGTGAACACATAAGTCAGCCCACATCTGTCCCCTATTCAGAGCCGTCTCGTTCAGGGTGAACACCAATCGCCTGCAGGGTCCCACCCATATGCCCTCATCTCGTAAGTACTCTCCTCCTTCCTCTCCTCCAGACACTCTGGCTCCCTTGATGTCCCTCAGACTTACCAGACATGTTCCTCCCTCAGGGCCTTTCACCGACTCTTCCCTTCACCTGCAAAGCTCTTCCCACAGACATCCACAGGATTCCCTCAGGGCTTAAATCAAATGCTCTTCAGGGAAGCCTAATCCAACTACCCTGGCTAAAATGGACTTCATCCCTCATGTCCCCTTTTTTCTTTATAGTGCATATCATTTTAACATGTCATTTGTCTCCTTCACTGTAAAGTTCATGAACAACTTGTGGGAAATTATTTTTGTGTTCTGTTCACTGCTTTATCTTCAGAGCCTAGAACAAGACTTAGCATATAGTAGGTACTCAATACATGTACTTGATGGAATGTACAAACTCAGCTGGAGGGTCTGCTTGGGACAAGGTTGGGAAGGAGAAGACAATCGGGAAAGAGACTGGTCTGGGGTCGTAGGGGCCTATGGACAGCAGAATTCATGGGGCAGCAGGTCTCAGGGAATATCAGTATTCAATATCTGAGGGGGAATACCCCTCTCAGAGAGGTCTGAGTTCCAAGATGAGTGGATGAGGCACACTGGCACAAATAAAGAACACAGGCTGAATCTTTGTCAAAGACATTTCTTGGAGCGAATATCTCATGCCCTCTCCCTGGATGACAAGGCTAGGTCTTTGGCTCCCCCACCACTTCAACCTGCACTGACAATAACAATATTGAGGTCACAGACTGGCTTGGAATCAAGATCAGGAAGATAAATGTCAGGGTGCCTCCCCTAAGTCTGGAGGCCAAGTATCCAATCTGAGGGGCAAGCAGCTGGGAAATTGGGCTTGGGGGCTCCAGGGTCTGAGGTCTTCCTAGACCCCAGGGTCCGCTCTCCATGCACCCTTGATTTGGGGGTGATGAAGAGAATTCATGGATCAGAGGTGGGTGTCTTCAGGGAGCAGGACTGGGAGACCTGGGAGAGGTGGTGCTGGGGGACCTTCCCCCCCAGTCCCCACCGCTTCATCTGCAGATCCCACAGCACCTTACAGCACTCTGGTCCCCTGTCCCGCCCCTCCCCAAAGCGAGGTAGGTTAAAAATGGAGCTTCCCCTGCCCACCACAGGAGACTGAGACACAGAGAAGGGAATGGGGACCCAGGGTGCCTAGCCCCCAATTCCTCTGCCCTCAGCTCTGGTGAGTATTATGATGATGAGAGCTGGGCAAAGAGGGGATGAGAGGGACACCCTCGTTATCTCACCCCTTCCCAGGCCTGTTTGGGAGAGCTGAATCTCACTCAGGTTTCAGATATAATAGTTAACATTTCAAGGAGTGACAGAGGGTTCTATTCATCCCTCTGGCCCCTTTGACCTATCCCTTGAACCTCCACAAACCCACCCAAGTATGAGTAACAAAGAGAGGTAAGTGCACATTTCCAGATACTTGGGGCCAGATGCAGGTCCTGAGCCCACACAACACTGAGATCATCTTGCTCCAAGATTTTGACTCCTCTCCCCCAACCCATTCAGAACCTTAGATTTGAGGGACCTGGAAGTTCTATTCCAATCAGGGAAAAGAGACTGTGGGATCCCCTTCCCTTGAAGAGGGGTCTCAGAGGGCCATGAAACAGGGGACAGAGAGAGAGAAACAGTGTGTGTGTGTGTGTGTGTGTGTGTGTGCACCAGCAGAGCTATGGCTAGCCCAAAACGTGCAACTTTGTGCAACTTAGAAAAATGCACACCTTCCTCTAAGGGCAGTGTGGCCAGCAGTGTGGTGTGTATTCCAGCCCACTCACCACCTTGGCCCTGTGCCTTTCGTTAATGAACAGCCTGCACAATCAACTAAGGCAATGTTGGGTCATAGAGATGGGAGTGGGGAAACTCTCATTGGTCCCGAAGTCCAACAACATGAGCTCAAGAAGGTGGGTTCTTCCCAGAGGGGAAAGGGATAGTTCTGTGGGATGCTGGGGACATGGGTGGGGCCTTAGGACTAGACTTCCAGAATCTGGGATCTTGGGGTTTCAGGGGCAGCAAGTCTCGGCATATCAGACTAGAGACTTGAGTCCCAAGAAATCAGATCTGAGGGTGCTAGGGTCCTGGGGCACCTCAGACCTGTCCCTGGTATGGAGGGACCAAGGTCTTGGGTCCAGGATAATCCCAATGCTGTATAGGCTTGAGCCATGAATTTGAAGGGTCAGTGGCACCTTGGGGTCTTGGATCCAGTGCTTCTAAAGCACCTTGGGGTCACCCAGGGACTGGGGACCAATGGGACAGAGGTCTGGGTTGTCATAAACATCCCATCTTTTGGGAGCTGGGCTTCCAGCTGTTAGGGGATTGGGGTTCTGTGTGTACCAAGAAGCCAAAGATTCCAGGACATTGAGGCTGGAAATCCATGTCCAAGAGGGCTATCTGAGGATTCTGGGACCAGTGTCTTGGGCCCTGAGGTGTTGGTGACCTTCAGTCCTAACCTGAAAGTACTAGATACCTCAGCGTCCTCTAGACGACACCCAAAGCTCCTGGGGACACTGGCTGCTTGCGGGGGGGGGGGGGGTTCGGTGAGGGGAGTCAGGTGTAAAGTGGTCTTCGATCCCTGGCTTCCAGAGCATCTTGGCGTGGGATGTCTGGATGGGGGTGGTCAGAGCACGCCTGGTTGAGCATATCCAAGGACCTGGGTCATTTTAGGAGGGCTGTGTCTCAGGAGTCCTAGAGCTACAAGAATACCTCAGATATGGGTGCCTCAGGTTTCAGGTGAGTATTCAGGGACCATTTGGGGTGGTTCTAGGTCCTGTGATCTCAAGATCTGGGAGAAATTGTACACAGGCAGGGTCAGGTATTGGCAACTCCTGACTAATTCTGGGTCTGTAATCTGAGGGCTTGCTCAGGGATCCGTGTGCTCCCAGGCCTGCCTGGTGTGAAGCTGGAGGATGCCTGGTGTCCCCTCAGTCTAGGCCATGGCGGGAGGGGGACAGTGGGATGAGGACACCAGAACTCAGGATGCCTGGGACCTCTTGGGCAGACAGCCCAGTGAAGGTGGGCCTGGGATCCCTCAATCCTAGATTTGAGATCCAGGTTCCAGGTCTGGGGTCTCTCAATCCAAACTCAACCTCCAAGTTCCGGATGTGCCTAGGTTTAGGTTTTGGGTCCAAATAGAGTCCGGGGTCCTGGACCCTCAACTTTGGGTCCTCGTTCTGGAGACCGGACCCATCAGACCATCCTCACCGCGCAGCCTCCTCGTGGCGACCCCCGCAGCCAGCGCAGCCGCATCGGGCCGCAACCCAGTGGCAGGCGCGCAGGGGTGCATAGCAGCAGAGGCAGGGCACTGCCAGGGAGAGTGCGGCCAGCGCAGCC